CATTGTGGACTCTGGTCATAACCGTAATACCCAATCATATATCGCTATTAAACTGTTCTCTCCCTCATCTGTTGCAATGCAGTATACATAATCTATCCAATTTTTCTCAGTCTCACCCCAGCCCTGATGTCAGTCCCATTCTACAACAGTGGCACTATGCAATATTTGTCCTTCTATGACTCAGATATTTCACTCAGCATAATGTCCTCCAGGGTCACCCATTTTGAATAATACTGCATGAGTTCCTTGTTTTACCATGCTGCACAGTATTCCATTGTGTGAATATACCAGAGCTTCTCTATCCATTTGTTTGTTGGTGGGCACTTAGGTTGTTTCCAACTCTTTGCTATTGTGAACAAAGCCACAACAAACTATCTGCCTGGCTGGCAGTTATGGGTTCTTTAGGGTATATTCCCAGTATAGGAATTGCTGGATCAAATGGTATTTCTATTTGCAGTTTTTTGAGAAAGAACCATACAGCCTTGCATAGAGGTTGCACCATTTTACACTGCCACCAACAGTGAATAAGGGTTCCAGTTTCTCCGCAACTTCGCCAGCATTTGTTGTTTGCTGCTCTGTTAAATTTTGCTATTCTTACTGGGGTGAGATGATTGTCTCATAGTTGTTTTGATTTGCATCTAAGGACAGCTTTGCTTTATAACACTTGAAAGTCATCCTTGGTAGTAGCTTTGCCCAGAGCACTACATTACTGGATTTCTTGACTTCTGCTTCCAGGGAGGCTGATTGTGACAACTTAAGTATTTTTCCATTTCTCATGATGTTGCTTATTGGTCCAGTGTGAGGATTTTTTTTTCTCTTTATGCTGAGATGTAATCCATACTAAAGACCATAGTCTTTGAATCTTCTTCAGTAAATGTTTCAAGCCCTTTCCACTTTTGACAGAGTTGTGCTATTTTCATATAGTACACGATTAGTGAGACTTCCTCCAGTCCTAATGCCATATTTTTCTTCATGTAATCCAGTCTTTCAGATGATTTGCTAAGCATAAAGATTGAGTTGTATGGTAAAAGACTGATGGACACCTTTCCTGATTTTAAACCACACAATATCTCCTTGTCATTCAACAGGTTCAATGACTGTTTCTAGGTATATGTATAGGTTCTGCTTGAGTGCAGTAAGTGTTCTGAAATTCCTTTTGTTAAAATGTCCTGACTGTTTGTTATTATCTGCACAATTAATGCCTTTGCAAAGTCATTAAACACAGACAAACCTCTTTCTGGTATTTTCTGCTTTCTGCCATCATCCATTTAATGTCTACAGTGGCATCTCTCATTCTATATACTTTTTTGAATTTCTGACATTATAATAATTCTTAAAATCTGGAATTGTGACATTCCAAGTTAAGCCATTTTCCCCAACTTTCTTTCCCAAGTTCTATGGATATGTTCACTGTCTAGCTGAATCTAAACATGATTTCATTAAATAGTCTCACCTCTAAAGTGAAATAGAAAACTAAATATTATAGTTTCAAAAAAAAGGCCAATGTAACCCATTTAATTTAAATGAGTGATGTTTAAATGTAGTCATTGGACTTCAGTGGCTGTTTAATAGTAACATTAAATATTAGTGCTCAAATTCGTAAATGAATGAAATGGAAAATATGAAAAATAAAATTCTCAGTTTAAAGGAAAACTTTTAAAATTCATAAAAGCAAAACTTATTGAAAAGGTGAATGACATATTTAATGAATAAGTTTGTCATTTTTATTTCTAGCACTTTTTTATGACTGTGTTCTTTTAAAAGTTAAGACTATTTAGTGTTAAATGTAAAAAAATGAATTCCAGAAAAACAATTGACAATCTGTCTAAATATTGCTAAAATACCATTACCGTAATTTGAACTAAACATCTAGAAACAAGCTTCTCTTTAAGCATTTTTATCATATTGTTGTTTTTTATTGCCGTTGAGTTGAGGTTGACTCATAACGACTCTATGAACAAAAGACCTAATGCCTTTTCATAGCTATCGTTATTTCTCCAAGTTCATAGAGTTTCCCAGAGGCATGTGGTTTAGGAAGTGGATGCCGCTCCTGCTTCCAAACCTGTTTTACAACTGGGAGCTCCACCAAACACTGTTCACACTGGGAAACCATTCTGGTATTTGATACTCCAATGTCGCAAGGTTCAGCATCACAGCAAACCCAGGTTACTTCATACAGCACATTGACAAAGAGTGATGTCCAAAGTGGAAGAAAGTTCCTTCAGATATAACAGCACTAGTCTCATTTAGCAGTGGTTAAGTGTTGTCTAGTTGAATACAAGTTAAAGTAAGCTTTGCACAAAAGACCTGGACTCTGTTCTATAATTAACATCATTTCTGTACATTTATAAGAGAGTTTGTAGAGTTTCAGAGGCAGTTTTGGAAGTGGATGCCACTCCTTCTTCCCAACATGAGTTAATCTGGATGCTTATCCAGACCTTGTGCATAACGGGGAACCATTATGGTATTTGACAAGACTATGGAACAGCGTTCAGCATCACAGTAACTCCAGGTTGTGCAGGACAGCAAATAGACAAATGATTGCTGTGTCTTTTAAAGAATATTCACTCTAAAGTTAACAAACTTGGCCTGAGGACTTTAGGAACGGGAAGGGCTCTACAGGATTTTAAAGCCACGCCTCGACCCTTAGTCTAAGGCTCAAGGGCCACCCACTTTTGAGGGGTAAAAAAGAACAGTAACACACAACAGATATGACCCCAGAAACTTCCCTTATGTGACTGCCATCAAGACAAGACTGCCACCTGCCATCGAGATGCTAGCTAGCCATCCAGCTCCTAGAGTTTTTATCATATTAGACTGACTGACTGACTAATGTCTGGTACACTGTTACCATGTACTGTCAAGTCAGAACAAAGTCATAGCTGACCCTCCAGTTTTCCGAGAGAGTTAATCACATGGTAGAAGACTGCCCATCCTTGTATTGACAGCACATCTTAATAGGAAAGTTATTATCTGTTATGATTTACTTTTTATTACCTGCACTGATTTCAACTTTAGTTGAAAATAGTGCTTTGTGTTATTTCAATACCTTGGTGCTACATAAAAGCTCAATGGTTATAAAATTTATAAAGTAACCCATTGCAAAAAAAAAAAGTAACTTATTGCATGAGAAATGTTTTAATTTGCCTAAATAGTGTTCAGTTCCAATTGGAAATCTAAGACAGCTTTAAATATGAAGTGTTTGTTAGTCCCTTACTGCTTGTTAACATTAACTGCAAATATGGTTCCTTCTTTTCAGTGGACAGGAGTTACGAAGAACTACAGTGGCTACTCACTATGATCCACACCGACCCTGTGCCATATGTAAGGTTAGTTTTTGTGCTGGAATATTTTGGTTTTATAAATCACAAAATGGAATGTTTTCCTTAGATTATACATGGAACAATTGTCTGGTTGTTTTTATTTGGTGGTTTGGTTGTTGTTTTTTTTTTTTAACCTGGATATGTGTTATGCTTTTATGCATTTATTTTATATTTTATTTAATTTGTTTTTGGAAAGACATTTTAAAGTAAATTGTTAATAAAGTGTATTCCCCTCACTATCTGACAGCCTACTATTAGGACTTCCTTTTCTTTTTGTCTTTTCACCTTCTAAGGGCATAACCTACTAAGATCTGTAAACTTTTCTTTTTCAATTTTTTGTTTTGCTCACATTACCCTATTATTTGATCACATTTTCAGAGCATTCTATATTGTGTTCTGGTAACACAGAAATCTCTAATAGTGAGGCTTATCTGTGACTCTCTGTGAGTTGCTTTACTGACTCTTCTAAGATACTTTGAAGAAATGTTTCCTTCCTTTTCGTATTTAAAATGCTTTTGCACATTTCTGTTCTTAATAAAGAAACTAATAATATGCTTATGTTTGTTCTATTATTTCATATGTAGGCTTCATTTTGGTATAACTCTAGAGGGTGTTTGGCCCCATTTAAGATTTTTATTAACCAAGTCTTTTATGTAATTTTTTCTAGGGAGAATACAGTGTTCTTTTTAAGAATAAGAGGTTTCGTAAGGATCACGAAGGTAGATTGGCTAGAGTCAGTTTGGTCCTCTAAGTATAATTATAAAATCTCTAAGGAAGTTGGAGAAAGAGTAAGTGCCAGAGGTTTTTTAGTGAAAGAACAGGTAGTAAATACATAATTTTTTTTTTAAATTTAAATTTTGAAACTAAACACAAAGTAAGATGTAAGAGGGGAGATAGAAAATAGAACATAGTTTTCAAATGGTTTATTTGTCAACAAAATTTAATATGTACGTGTGTTTTAAAAAAATTTTATTTTGCCTTGTAGGCATAAGATTTTAGACATGTTGACGAAGAATCCACCCTTTACTAAGAATATGGAGTCTCCCTTATGCAATGAAGCCCTGGTGGATCAGCTGTGGAAGCTTATGAATTCTGGTGAGAGAGTGCATGCTTTTATTATATTTTTATTATCAAGGTCTCTATATAGGCAAACCTAATACACATCACAGAGGTTGGGGTTTCACAAGGTTAAGTTTTGTGACAACTTTGTATCACGTTGTATTGGCACCTTTTTTCCAGTAGCTTGTGCTAAGGTCATTTCATAGGCTTACTTCATGTTTTAGATCATATCCAGGAAATTAAAAGATGTATTCCAATGCGAAAGTCTGCTGGTAGGGACCTCTCCAACGTACTGAAGAGCAGTGGTGTCTCTCTGGAAGCTAAGGTGCGTCTGATACAGGTCATGGTCTTTGCAATCACTTGTTATGCATCAGAGAGTTGGGCAATGACTATGGAGACTAGAAGGAGAATTGATGCCTTTGAGCTGTGGTGCTGGAGAAGAGTATTGAGGGTACCATGGACTGCTAGGAAAACAAACAGATTCGTCCTGGAGTGGGTCAAACCAGGCGGCTCCTTGGAGGCAAGGATTCTGAGGCTCTGTCGACCATACTTTGGACATGTTGTGAGGAGAGACCGGTCCTTGGAGAGGGACATCATGCTTGGGAGGGTGGAGGGACGGCGCAGGAGGGGAAGGCCCTCTGTGAGATGGATTGATTCAGTGACTGGGGTAATCGGGATGGGTGTGTCAGAGACGGTGTGATTGGCACAGGACAGAGCAGAGTTTAGGGCTCTTGTACGTAGGGTCACTATGAGTCGCAAGCGACTCGATGGCACTTAACGACGATGGTAATTTGTGCAATATTATACATTTTCATAATGTTATGAGAGAGACAACAGGAATGTGAGTATAACCTTTATGTGCATTGGGAGAGCATGAGGACCATGTGACTCAGCTCTGTTGTGATGCTCCCTTTACAGTGGTGGTCTGGAAACAAGCCCGCCTTTTCTCTATGGTGTGTCTGTACAGCTTAGAACCGATGACACAGGAGCTTTAAGGAACAGAAGTAAATTTTTTACCCTATCTTTAAAGTGGCAGCAGTAATAACATTTGTTAAGAATAAACTTGAAGCAACCTGCAAAGTGGTGAAAGAAACAAAAACACTATTTTATGTGAAATAAATGTTTCAGGAACTATAAAAAGGAAAATAAAGTATTACTTTTAATTCAGAATGTTACAAAGGGGTGAAAAAAATCTTTTGTAGTTTTTCAGAAATAAATACTATTCTGTTAATGAATGATGATATGAAAATTCAATTGGAATTGGAAACTTTCACTGTAATAAAATGTTAATTTTTTAAAAGTAAATATTATTCTATACATAGTGTACTGCACCTTGAAGATCTGTGGATCTCATCACAGTTTTAATTGACATTATTTAGATAAGGTCAAGGAATAGTATATAACATAGTGTTAAAAACAGCTGGAATCAATTTGCTCATGTGTGACTTGCCAGAGTTTGTTTTTTCCTTCTAAACTTTATTATGTTGCTACTGAGAATATATGCAAGCATCCACTGAGCCACCAGTTTTGATAGGTTCAGTTTGGTGGCACTGATTGTAACCTACGAATTCTGGAGCAATTCTCACCGTCCTTTTCTGTCTCGATTCTCTTTCGTTAGCATAAACCCACTGCTCCCTGAGATTTTTATCCAACCTTTAAAGTTGATATTGTCAGCTTAATTAAAAAAGATACTTCTTAAGAGAGCTTAGTGCTTATTAAGGAATATCTTTTTTGCTGTTAAGGTTGTTATTGTTGGTATGTACCGTTCCTTGAGTTGGAACCAACTCATAGCTGTCCCTCCAGCAGGTTTTCAGAGGCAGTAAAACGCATGGGAGGAGATTGCCCATCTTTTCAGAGCAGTTTGTAGATTCGAACTCCATGCATTTGGATTGGCAGTGCAACTCCTTACCACTAAGCCACTACTGCTCCTTTACTAGTTAAACGAAATTATTTTTTTCATTTTAAGATGACTTTAGGAGATACTTTTTTGTATTTAGGGGAGCTTTGGTGGCCTAGTGGCAAGAAACTGCACTGCAATCCTGAAGGCACACGGTTTGAATCCACCAGCTGCTCAGAGGTAGACGGATGGGCACTCTCCTACTATGTAATTAACTGCCTCCAAAAACTCTCCAGAGGGTCAGCTATGATTTGGTTCTAACTCTCTACGGCACACAACAAAAATGATGAAAATTATCTCAGGCAATAATTTCAGGAGTTCATCCCCTTCTGTGACTGTAGATACAGAATTCGAGGTTTTCTTCTGTAGTCCTCCCTTTTGATCGGAGTCTTGCTGTAGAATCTTTAATCAGAATTTTAAAAATGGTGCTGTGTACGCTGGTCTCATAACAAAGGGAGATATCCATACATTCCATATTCTCTTGCTGTCACTACTTTCCGTTTTCTTCTAGGCAAACAGAGATCATGTTGCCTTGAAGGACCACTTGCATGCAGCCTTTTAAGACTCCAGGCACTATCCAGTAGTCTAAGGGCTAAGAACAGAAGTAGTAAACACATCACTAGGCCAGTTAACCGGAATGCCCCATAATCCCATAACCTACACCTCCAGACTAAGGAATGAGATCCTGTGAGATGTTGATCCCATAAGCAGCCTCAGCAGCTAGCTACTCTCTGTTGTTTTATTTTTATTATTGTAATAACTTTTTACATGGGTCCAACTTGGAAATTATTACAGTGTTTGACTGCAGCCCAACCCTTCGTCTGTGCAGTTGTATCATCTCTGGTCTCTCTTTTCCTTTCCTTCTCATAGTTGGTAACCCCTCATAAAGGCTGTTTTCTTTTTCTCTATTCAGTTCTTTAAATGAAGTCTCTGGTTCACTTATTTCATTTAGTGTTGTCTTCAAGCTTTAGCGCATTGCGATTTCTTTTCACCTGCTGGCTAATATGCTATTGTATGTATAGTATATATTCTTATCCTCTCAGATTGATGGGTGTTTTGACTGCTTACATCTTTTTACTATTGTGAAGAGTGCTGCTCTCAACCCTGGTGTATATATCTCTTTTTAAGTCTCTCCTTTCAAGTGTTTGGAATCTATATCTAGAAGTTAAATGGCTGCGTCAAACACGAATTGTTGAAAGTCAGACGTTTTAGCTTTTAGAATGAGTTATACTTCAACATAAAGGGAAAAAAATCCTCATAATGGACCAGCAGGTAATATAATAATAGAGGTAAGACTGAAGTTGTAAAGGCTTTCATTTTATTTGAATTGCCTGGGTATCAGCTGTCAAGAATTAAGACGTGTTGCATTGGACAAATCTGCTGTCAAGGACTTCTTTAAAGTACTGAGGAGCAGGAATGCTGTTTAAAGAGTAAGGTGAACCTGGTGAAGCCAGGGTATTTTCATTTGCTTCATATGCATGTGGAAGTTGGACATGGAATAAGAAAGACTGAAGAAGAAGATTCTGTGTCTTTGAATTGTGGTATTGGCCAAGGGTACTGAGTATTCATTGAATGCTACGAGAACAACACACAAATCTGCCTAGGAGACCTGCAAACAGAATATTCTTTAGAAGCAAGGATGGTAAGACTTCATTTCACATACTTTAGGCATCTTATAAATGGGGACCCGTCCATGAAGGACAGTGTGCTTGGAAAATACATGACCATCAATAAAGAAAAAGACAGTCCAGGAAATGTAGTGTGCGGCGACTGCATCAGTGGGCTTCTGAGGATGGTGTGCAGCCAGGCAGGGTTCCGTTCTCTTGTACACTGGCTCGCATCCAGTCGTAGCTACTCAATGGCACCCAACAACAGTGACATCAAATAGTCGTTCTGTTTCGTTTTCTGAGGAACTGGCAGCAGTTCCCTAACAGCTGTACCATAGTGCGTCCGGGTTCCAATTTTCCTGCATCTTTGACAACATATGTTATTTATTTTTAGTTTTGCCATCCTCTGAGAGTGAATTGGTGTCTCCTTCTAGTTTTGATTAGCTTATTTCTCTGGTGAGTGATGGTGCTGAACTTCTTTGTATGTGTTTGGCAGCCATTTAAGTGTCCTCTATGGTGAAACGCCTGTTGATGTTTTGCTCATTTTGTTATGGGGTTATTTGCTTTTATGTTAAGTTGACTGTATAGTCTTTTAGTGGACAGATTTTTTCTTAAAAAAATCTTACCAGGTTCAGTTTACTGTGTTGTTTATGTATTTGTTATTAGATAAAACTTTATTGAAAGTTAGGCCTGATACTGTTTCTCTTGCTAGTTCTCCTAAGAGCTGTCTGGTTCTACTTTGTACCTCAGGTCTCTAGATTTGACTAAAATGCTGTTTGTTTTTGTATATGGTGTGAGTATGTTTGATTTTTCTCTAAGTGGAGATCTAGTTTTCTTAGAACTATTGCCTGAAGAGAGTCTTCTTTCTGCATTGACTAGACTGACTCGTCTCTTTTTGTTTTGTTTAAGTTAGGAGATAGAGGTGACAATGATCCCTCCTTCTGCAAAATGAGAATTAAATTAATTAAAATTTATGTATGTCTTAAAAGTGTCTCATTCCTATGACTCTCAGTGCCGTCAAGTGAGTTCTGACTCATAATGACCCTCTATAAAGTTTTTGAGGCTCTAAGTCTCACAGGAGGAGATTGCTCATCTTTCTCCCGAGGACCTGCTGGTAAATCTGAACTGCCCGAGATGCACGGCCTTAGATCCAGGAAAATGAGGTGTTCAAGCTTAGATGCATCTGGCTTTGGAATTTGCCTCCACAGGTCCCTCAGTGCGTGATAAGGGTCCTGTGTTGTACTAGCACGATGATACCGTTGCGAGCTATTTGTAGCTCTTACCTTTTGCCAGTTTTTAAATTGGACTGTTGGCTTCTAAGTGCCATATATATATATATATTTTTTTTTTAAAAGACAATTTGCCTTGTATCTGTGATATGTTGAAATTGTGATAGTGGTTTTAGTTTAAAGAGTTAATAAAGTAGCAGGCTGTATTAGTTATAGATTATGGGAGAGCAAAGTATACATCAGTTTACTGACTGAAATATTAAGTAAGATTTCTTGTAATCCCTAAGTTTTCACACCAAGTAT